ATTCTTCTGGACTTTCCATCTCGTACCGCATAGTAGCTGTGACCAGTTCAGTAACTGCTGGATACTGTTTGGGTTTCTCATCAGCAATAGGTGACTCTGCTGGTTTCGGATATTCGGTGCCTGTTTCAAAGGCTTCTTCCGCAGCGAAAGGAGTTTCTTCGGTTCTTGTATCCTTCAACTCTCTTGCAGGAACTTCCATTGTCAGGAGTAACTCTTTCATTCGGACCCCACACCCTTTGGCTGTTCCTCTTTTTTCGTTACTGCTTCGTACGCTGCTGCTGCACCCATTGCTGCCAAAGCAACAGGTGCAACCACAACACCTCCTGCGATTTTTGCAGCTTTTCCTGCGAAACCTGCAAGCCTGTCTCTGACTGAGAGCTCTGTTGACGTCTCCTCTTCAGGAATTCCTTCTAGTGTTGGAGATTCCTGATAGAAAACAGATCTGCTCGGTACTTCTTCTGGTGATTTCTTAATTTCTTCTTCTCCGAGCATTTCCAATTCTCTAGGGCTCTCGAATCCGTAACGAGTTTCAGTTGGGCCCATTTCTGCAACCGTTGGATATACTTCACGCTCCATGGTACTTACTGGTGACTCTTCTCGTTTCGGAGATTCCTCCTCATAGCGTTTCTCGAATTCCTCAACGGGCTTCTGCGACACTTCTTCCATTCGTTTCTCGAACTCTTCTGGACTTTCCATCTCAAAGCGCGTGGTAGTTATAACATCTTCCGTAATTGTTGGATATTCTACACGCTCGGCCACAGTGGTAGGAGACTCTTCTCGTTTCGGAGATTCCTCCTCATAGCGTTTCTTAAGTTCATCTTCCGGTTTCCATGGCACTTCTTCCATTCGCTTCTCGAATTCTTCCGGACTTTCCATCTCATAGCGGGTGGTTGTGGTGACCACTTCCGTTACAGTTGGATATTCTTCACGCTCCGCCACAGTGACAGGTGACTCCTCCCGTTTCGGAGAATTCCTCCATTCGCTTCTCATATTCTTCTTCCGGTTTCGGTGGCACTTCTTCCAGTCGCTTCTCGAATTCTTCTGGACTTTCCATTTCATAGCGGTGGTGGTGACCACTTCCGTTACGATTGGCTCTGCGCGCTCTCAGTGACACGATTCCTCTTGTTCGGAGACATTTCTTCCACGTTCTCAATATTCTTCTTCCGTTTCGGGTGACACTTCATTCCATCCCTTCTCAAAATTCTTTCGGACCTTCCCATCTCAAATAAAAAATCTTCCGTAGTGTGACATTCTCACGATGGTCCTTTCGCCCTCGACTGACAGGTGAATCCTCTTTGTTCGAGACATTGTTTCCCACCCTTCTAATATTCTTCTTCGGTTTCGGTGACACTTCTCTCATCGCTTCTCGAAATTTCTCCGCGATCTTTCCATTTCATAGCAGGTGGCTGTTTACCACTCCGTTACAGTAACACTTGATAATCTTCACGCTCCGCTGCATGACACGGTGACTCCTGCCCGTTTCAAGAACTTCCTCCATCCTTCTCATATTCTTCTTGGTTTCGGGAACTTCTTCCATCCCGTCTCTACTGCCTCTGGACTCTCCATCTTCATACGGTGGATTGTGGTACCACTTCCTTACGATGGCTGCTCTTCGCGCTCCACAGGACTCTTCTCGTTTTCGGCGCACTTTTCTCCATTCTCTCGTACTCCTCCGACTCTCCATTTCATAGCGGATTGTTGTGTACACTCCTTTACAGTTGATATTCTTCACGCTCGCTTTACATTGACAGTGGAAGACTCCTCCCGTTCAAGAACTTCCTCCAATTCGCTTCTCGTATCTTCTTCCGGTTCCGAAGACTTCTTCACGTCGCTTCTCGAATTCTTCTGGACTTTCCATCTCATATCTCGTCGTAGTTGTGACCACTTCTGTCACGATTGGGCGCTCTTCGCGCTCCTCAGTGACAGGTGATTCCTCTCGTTTCGGAGACATTTCTTCCCACCGCTTCTCATATTCTTCTTCCGGTTCCGGTGGAATTTGTCCCACTCGCTTCTCGAATTCTTCCGGACGTTCCATCTCATAGCGCATGGTAGTTGTGACCACTTCCGTCACCACTGGATATTGTTCACGCTCCATGGTAGTTACTGGTGACTCTTCTCTTTTCGGAGATTCGTCCTCATAACGTTTCTCGAATTCCTCAACGGGCTTCTGCGACACTTCTTCCATTCGTTTCTCGAACTCTTCTGGACTTTCCATCTCATATCTCGTCGTAGTTGTGACCACTTCTGTCACGATTGCGCTCTTGGCAGCTCCTCATGACAGTGATTCCTCTTTTCGGAGCGACTTCTTCTACACGCGCTCTCATATTCTTCTCCGTTTTCGGTGACACTTCTTCCATTCGCTTTCTCGAATTTTCTGACTTTTCCATACTCATATCTTCTATGATCAGTGTGACACTTCTTGTCACAATTGGCCATCTTCGAGCCTCCTCAGTACAGTCCGCTTCCTTTGTTCGATACAATTTCTCCACCCTTCTCATATTCTTCTTCCGGTTTTCGGCTGCACTTCTCTCCCACGTTTCTCGATTCTTTCCCGGACTTCCATTCATAGCGCTCCGGTCGTTAGTTACCACCTTCCAGTTTACATCTTTGATATTCTTTCGCCCTCCACAGTGACATGACGCACTGTTCTCTTCGGGAACTTCCCCATTCGCTCTCGTACTCCATCTGACTTCTCATCTCAAGTGGTTGTGGTAACCACTTCCGTTACAGTTGGATATTCTTCACGCTCCGCCACAGTGACAGGTGACTCCTCCCGTTTCGGAGATATCTCCATTCCTCTCATATCTTTCTTCGCGTTTCAGGAACTCCTCATCGCTTCTCGTACTCCTCTGGACTCTCCATCTCATAGCGGGTGTTGTGGTAACCACTTCCGTTACAGTTGGATATTCTTCACGCTCCGCCACAGTGACAGGTCCTCCTCCGTTTCTGAGATATCTCCATTCTTCTCATTTATTCTCTTCCGGTTTCGGAGAACTTCCTCCATTCGCTTCTCGTACTCCTCTGGACTCTCCATCTCATAGCGGGTGGTTGTGGTAACCACTTCCGTTACAGTTGGATATTCTTCACGCTCCGCCACAGTGACAGGTGACTCCTCCCGTTTCGGAGATATCTCCATTCGCTTCTCATATTCTTCTTCCGGTTTCGGAGGAACTTCCTCCATTCGCTTCTCGTACTCCTCTGGACTCTCCATCTCATAGCGGGTGGTTGTGGTAACATTCCGCTCACAGCCTGATATTCTTCACCCGCTCCGCCACATTACAGGTACTCCTCCCCGCTTCGGGAACCATTTCCTCTAATTTCGCTTTCTCCATATCTCTTCCGTTCGTGGCCACTTCTTCATTTCGTTTCGAATTCTTGGACTTCCATCTCGCTACCCATTAGCTGTGACCATCAGTTAACTGCCTGGATACTCTTTTGGGTTCTCATCTGCAATAAATGACTCTCTGGTTCGAATTCCCCGGGTGCCTGTTTCAAAGGCTTCTTCCGCAGCGAAAGGAGTTTCTTCGGTTCTTGTATCCTTTAACTCTCTTGCAGGAACTTCCATCTCAGGAGTAACTCTTTCATCGGACCCCACACCCTTTGGCTGTTCCTCTTTTTTCGTTACTGCTTCGTAAGCTGCTGCTGCACCCATTGCTGCCAAAGCCAACAGGGCAACCACAACCCTCCCGCAAGTTTTGCTCTTTTCCGCGAAGCCTGCTAAGCCTGTCTCTGACTGAGGGCCTCGCTAACGTCTCCACTCAGTATTCCTCTTTGTTTGTGACATTCCTGAAGTAAACAGATCTGTCGTACTTTGCTGGATTTTCCTCCAATCCCAACGAGTTCAGTTTAAGCCCCATTCCTTAACCGCTATATTTGTTCACTCCAATGCATTGTTGGACTTCTCTTTCGTTTCGGAGATCCCTCCTCATAGCGTTTTTCAACGGGCTTCTCAGACACTTCTTCCATTCGTTTCTCGAACTCTTCTGGACTTTCCATCTCATACCTCGTCGTAGTTGTGACCACTTCTTCACGACTGGCCTCTTCGCGCTCTTCCTGATAGTACTCCTCCGCGCTTGTGCACTTCTTCCATCGCTTCTCGAATTTCTTCCGGACTTTCCATCTCATAGCGCGTGGTAGCTGTACCACTTCTGTGACGACTGGGCGCTCTTCACGCTCCTCAGTGACAGGTGATTCCTCCCGTTTCGGAGATATTTCTTCCCACCTCTTCTCATATTCTTCTTCCGGTTTCGGTGGAACTTCTTCCAGTCGCTTCTCGAATTCTTCCGGAACTTTCCAGTCTACCTCGTCGCTAGTTATCACTTCCTCACACTGCGATATTGTTCACGCCCAGGGGTATACTCTGATCTCTTCTCGTTTTCGGAACCTCCTTCCATACGTTGCTCGAAATTCCATCAACGGGCTTCTGCACACTTTCCATTCGTTTCTCGAACTCTTCTGACTTTTCCATCTCATAGCGCGTGGTAGTTGTGACCACTTCTGTCACGACTGGGCCCTCTTCGCGCTCCTCCGTGATAGGTGACTCTCGTTTTTGCGGCACTTCTTCCCATCCTGCTCAATTCTTCTGGACTTTCCATACTCATACCTCGTCTATGTGGGGGGGGGGGAAAACCCACTTTGCGCGGGGTCACTACTGGATATTGTTCACGCTCCATGGTAGTTACTGGTGACTCTTCTCGTTTCGGAGATTCCTCCTCATAGCGTCGCTCGAATTCCTCAACGGGCTTCTGCGACACTTCTTCCATTCGTTTCTCGAACTCTTCTGGACTTTCCATCTCATATCTCGTCGTAGTTATTTTTTTTGTGGGAACCCACCTTTCTTCACGATGGCCTTCGCTCTCCCAGTACAGGGTGATTCTCCCGTTCGGAGATATTTCTTCCCACCCTCTTTCTCATCATGCTTCTCCGTTTCGGGGAACTTCTTCAGTCGCTTCTCGAATTCTCCGACTTTCTCATCTCATATGCGCGGGTAGTTCGTGACCACTTCTGGACACTGGCGCTCTTCACGCTCCTCAGTTATAGCGACTCCTCCTGGTTTTGATGCACTTCTCCAGTCTGCATCTTCTCAATTCTTCCGGACTTCCATCTCATAGCGCGTCGGTATTCTGACGCTTCCTGTGACGACTGCGCTCTTCACGCTCCTCAGTGATAGTGACTCCTCCGGTTTCGGTGCAATTTCTCCCACTCGCTTCTCATATTCTTCTTCCGGTTTCGGTGGCACTTCTTCCAGTCGCTTTTCGAATTCTTCTGGACTTTCCATCTCATAGCGCGTGGTAGTTGACACTTCTTTGACATCTGCGGCAGCTCTTCACGCTCCTCATGATATGGTGACTCCTCCGTCGTTGCCAACTTCTCCCACTCGCTTCTCATATCTTCTTCGGTTTCGGTGCACTCTTCCAGTCGCTCTCATTCTCGGACTTTCCATCTATACCTCGTCGTAGTTGTGACCACTTCCGTCACTACTGGATATTGTTCACGCTCCATGGTAGTTACTGGTGACTCTTCTCGTTTCGGAGATTCCTCCTCATAGCGTCGCTCGAATTCCTCAACGGGCTTCTGCGACATGCCCATTCGTATCCTCATATCTTCCTGGAACTTCCATCTCTATCCTCTCTATTAACCACTCTGTGACGACTGCCGCCTTCACCGCTCCTCAGGCCATATGATTCTCCCGTTATCGGAATATTTCTTCCCACCTCTCTCACTATTCTTCTTCCGGGTTTCGTGCCATTCTTCCATCGCTTCTTCGAATTCTTGACTTTTCCATCTCATACCTCGTCGTAGTTGTGACCACTTCCGTCACTACTGGATATTGTTCACGCTCCATGGTAGTTACTGGTGACTCTTCTCGTTTCGGAGATTCCTCCTCATAGCGTCGCTCGAATTCCTCAACGGGCTTCTGCGACACTTCTTCCATTCGTTTCTCGAACTCTTCTGGACTTTCCATCTCATATCTCGTCGTAGTTGTGACCACTTCTGTGACGACTGGGCGCTCTTCACGCTCCTCAGTGATAGGTGATTCCTCCCGTTTCGGAGATATTTCTTCCCACCTCTTCTCATATTCTTCTTCCGGTTTCGGTGGCACTTCTTCCAGTCGCTTCTCGAATTCTTCTGGACTTTCCATCTCATACCTCGTCGTAGTTGTGACCACTTCCGTCACTACTGGATATTGTTCACGCTCCATGGTAGTTACTGGTGACTCTTCTCGTTTCGGAGATTCCTCCTCATAGCGTCGCTCGAATTCCTCAACGGGCTTCTGCGACACTTCTTCCATTCGTTTCTCGAACTCTTCTGGACTTTCCATCTCATATCTCGTCGTAGTTGTGACCACTTCTGTCACGATTGGGCGCTCTTCGCGCTCCTCAGTGACAGGTGATTCCTCCCGTTTCGGAGACATTTCTTCCCACCTCTTCTCATATTCTTCTTCCGGTTTCGGTGGCACTTCTTCCAGTCGCTTCTCGAATTCTTCTGGACTTTCCATCTCATATCTCGTCGTAGTTGTGACCACTTCTGTGACGACTGGGCGCTCTTCACGCTCCTCAGTGATAGGTGATTCCTCCCGTTTCGGAGATATTTCTTCCCACCTCTTCTCATATTCTTCTTCCGGTTTCGGTGGAACTTCTTCCAGTCGCTTCTCGAATTCTTCCGGACTTTCCATCTCATAGCGCGTGGTAGTTGTGACCACTTCTGTGACGACTGGGCGCTCTTCACGCTCCTCAGTGATAGGTGATTCCTCCCGTTTCGGAGATATTTCTTCCCACCTCTTCTCATATTCTTCTTCCGGTTTCGGTGGCACTTCTTCCAGTCGCTTCTCGAATTCTTCTGGACTTTCCATCTCATACCTCGTCGTAGTTGTGACCACTTCCGTCACTACTGGATATTGTTCACGCTCCATGGTAGTTACTGGTGACTCTTCTCGTTTCGGAGATTCCTCCTCATAGCGTCGCTCGAATTCCTCAACGGGCTTCTGCGACACTTCTTCCATTCGTTTCTCGAACTCTTCTGGACTTTCCATCTCATATCTCGTCGTAGTTGTGACCACTTCTGTCACGATTGGGCGCTCTTCGCGCTCCTCAGTGATAGGCGACTCCTCCGGTTTTGGTGGCATTTCTTCCAGTCGCTTCTCGAATTCTTCCGGACTTTCCATCTCATAGCGCGTGGTAGTTGTGACCACTTCTGTCACGACTGGGCGCTCTTCACGCTCCTCAGTGATAGGTGACTCCTCCGGTTTTGGTGGCACTTCTTCCAGTCGCTTCTCGAATTCTTCCGGACTTTCCATCTCATATCTCGTCGTAGTTGTGACCACTTCTGTCACGATTGGGCGCTCTTCGCGCTCCTCAGTGACAGGTGACTTCCTCTCGTTTCGGAGATTCCTCCTCATAGCGTCGCTCGAATTCCTCAACGGGCTTCTGCGACACTTCTTCCATTCGTTTCTCGAACTCTTCTGGACTTTCCATCTCATATCTCGTCGTAGTTGTGACCACTTCTGTCACGATTGGGCGCTCTTCACGCTCCACCACAGTGACAGGAGATTCTTCTCGTTCCGGCCACTCCTGCTCAAATCGCTTTTGGAATTCAGGTGTCTTTTCTTCATCCTCTTCGGATCTTCTCACAGCATCCACCTGGTCCTTGGTCTTTTCGTAGCGAGTCGTAGTGATAGTGGTCTCCTCGGAATCTGGATACTCCTCAAAGATGTTCCTAGAACCTTCTGTTTCTGGTTGTTCCGGATATTCTCTCTGAAGGGCTTCTGGCTGCATCGTCTCTGGTATTTCTATCAGTCGCGTTGTCGTTATAGTTGTTACTGTCTTTGTCACTGCAGGAATTTCCTCCGAAATTTCGCCCACCTGTTCGTATTTTGGTGGCAAATCACTAGGTTTCTCTTCTTGTTCAGCTGTCGTTGCGGCATCCGGCAGCTCTACATAGCGGGTCGTTGTTACAGTGGTAACCGTTTTCTTTACTGTACGATATTCTTGATCTTCTGGGAACAAATCGGCGTCCTCTGGTTTTGTAGTAGATATGTCCTTGAAGGGAAGATACTCGTGTGATACTGGTTTTCTTGTATCTAGTTTTTCATCGGTTTTCGGAACTTCAGTGATTTCTTCATAAGGAGGCATGGCTAATCTCTCCTCGCTTACCTTCGTTTCTCGACTTAAGCCCATTGCGTCTGTAATGTTTTGAGGAGATTCGGACCGTTCCTCTAGCTGAATTATTTCTTCTATCGTTGTCTCAATAAACGTCCTGGGCTGTTCAGTGAACACCGTTACAGCTTCCTTTGTAGGTATATTCTCGTCTACCACAGGTTCCTCGGGTACTTCGTCAATTGTTTTACTTTCTTGTTGTTGTTCTTCATGCGATCTTATCATGAACTCTTCTCCATTATATGAAGGCGAACTTTTCACCTCTGCCTGAGAGACCTCCGATTCTATGGAGGGGCTAAGGGGTTCCTGGGTTATATCTTCATGATCTGATTCCAGTTCGGGTACAGGAGTTCCTGGTGTAACAACGATATCAACCGATAACTTATCCGGTGATGTTTTCTTGAATTGCCCATCTTGCAGCGATTCGAATCGTGCTATCCTTTCGCGTACTGAGCCATAGGTGTCTGTCGGTGACTCTGAAAAAATTCCAAATTAATTAGGTTTTCCAACTTCAAATACTGTCAATAGCCATTCAGTTGGAGATGCACCCCTGGCGATTTTTTCTGTCAACATGAGTATTGGTGCCGCATGAAGGATCGTTCAAAGTTTCAACGCTTAGTTACATCAAACCTATGGAAGTTATCATGCAGGTTTGCAGTTTCTCCCCCTAACTACGTTCTTCCAGAATGCTGGGAAACTCTGATAGACCTCTCATGCCACACTATGCTATTGCCAACACATTCATGGGTATCGCCTGGACTCCATCTTTAATTAAAGTTGGATACAGTAGCATGCATTGTGCAACAAGAAGCTTCATGCAGGACTCCGCAATTCATATGGTAATCATTCCATTCAACACACATCACATCACCATTAATAGAGTATCTCAAGTGTGAGCAAAAAACGTGAAGGAAATAGTGCGCGTAATTACCCAGGTCATGGATGGTATGTATTGAAGGGCATGATCGCTAGGAACGCTCATGCCCTTTCATACACCGCGGAGGCTGAACAGGATGTGCCCAGACGCTTGCTCCTTCCACTCCCGCTTTACCATTACGCTGGCACCAGCAGTCTGCCCCAGCGATCGTGCCGTGCCTACCGTTAAACGGGTGCTCACTGAATTCATAGTTGGCCTACGAGCTGCCAATTTCCTATACAAAAGGACTCTATGGCACCAAAAAATGCAAAAGCATGCGCTGTTATGCCTCGATATTTCTAGTCGGTGGACAGCCATGAAGTTGAAAGAGCGGCGTATTTATTATCGAGTGGCCTCGACTGGATCGTCCCCAGGTGTCAAAAAGTAAATGGGTAAAGGATAAAGTAAATGATCAGTGACGAGTCAGTGACCAATCCATTTTTGGGCACGGCACGCATTCCACTTCCATTCACAGTTGGACTTATTGAAAGGGATTTAGGCCTATACAATGACCTGTGGGGGGGGGAGCTATGAAGTCGTTGTCTTTTATCCTCCCAGGCGAACCTAGTAGCAACTTGTCGCCCTCGAAGTGTATAAGGCTCGGGTGACATGGGTGGGAGCCGATCCGGGATTTGACCCTCAGGCTGCGCGTGTGCTAAGCAAGCCGCCCGCTAAACGGAGCAGATGGAGTGCGATGACACATCCTCCCCCCCCCCTACCATCATCGTGGAACCAGCTACGTCGCTAGGGTTTCTTTGCTGGTAGCTTTGACGATGCTCAGACACGCATGTAAACGTCTTATCTTCCAAATAAATGGCGCATTAGTGCTGCAGTGGCAATAATGGGCACCAAGCCGATCATCTTATTAATGGAGAGATCTCTCCTTCCATTTGATGCCGGGGTTTTCGATGTTTGAGTAACCGTTAGCGCTAACG